GGGCAGCTAAAATTACTATTATTTACTATTATTACTATTAAAATGCAACTTTCTGTTCATTTACCTTTTAGATATTTAAGAGCAAAGTACCATAGTATCAGTAGGGAAATCTGACTCTTGCCCACATTCTAGAATCTGAAAACCACCAATTGATAAGTTTATGGATTTTTGTATGAAATATTTATAAAAAAAAAAAAAAATGAATCTCATGGATTTCAAGTTCCTGTTAATAGTAATAATATTTTGAGGACGTTTGATCATTCAAAAATAATATTCTGTTTTGAATTGTTAACTTCTATAACAATGGTGGTAGATTTTCATCACTCTCAAACCCATGGATAGGCCCTTGCCCATCATTCCAGAACGTGAACACCACCAAAATTCACAGTGACAAGCACACCACTACACTGTTTTTCAATTGCATTCAGAAGAATATTGCATCATGGTTTGAAGACATAAAGCTTTCTATTTGATGAATTGGGTAAGTTAAATGCGGAATTAAAAAAATTGTTTGCGAATGCTAATCACAGCTGCATATTCATTTAGGTTCATTGCTGATCAAGTGGTTGCCATGGAGTGATTATACTTAAGAATAATTAATAAGAGAGGAGTGAATGCTTCAGTTTAGGGAGATACATAATTGCCTTGTGCTAAACATATTTTATGTTACATATTCATAAAGTTTGTGTCCTCAGAAGTGCATTATCTAATTACTGTATACACTGTTGTGATAATCATTTTGATAAATGTTAGCATACAGCACTAAAGAGCCTAAAATAAAGCCTTACCTATTCCATACATAATGTGAGTCAGGGTCTGCATTTAAATGGGCAAAGTTTTAAATATTCATTGAGTCAAACTCTCTTTTCTGTTCTTGGCAAGTGCACAGCTCTAAGCATAAAATCAGAGCTGCTTGCATCATATTTTGTTCTATAATCTTTTGTTCTAATAATATATCCAACTTGAATAGCTAATTGCATGGTAAAGGATGTTTTTACTTTTAATTCAATTGCAAGGTTTTACTTCACGACTGGTGGTCACGTAGCTGCAGGAAGCATTGTGGATCATTTTTAGACCTCTGCCAATGTCAAGTCTTGCTCTATCTTTGTATTCATTTAATTCATTGTGGCCTTTCAGTGTGTGATCAATCAGATCTATGCATTTTCATAAATGTATTTTATTCCAAGTAACAACCTCACTGCTTCACCACTTTGATTACAGTGCAATGCTGATTTGAGGCCTTTAAAATGCATTAATGGCGAGTGGGGATTTGCATTTATATTGGATTTTCCTTTCAGGCCACATGAAAACCTGAGATAGAGCTGTGCAAACAAAGACCAAACAGCGAACACGAATCATCTGAAACACATTGGACCCCATAATAGAGTACAGGAAACCCAGTGACAGATGCTAGTGTGGGCAAAAGCAGGGCCATTGCCTCTCACAGCGCAACCAAGAGCCACATTATTCAGATGTGGCTGCAGTACAAAAGTTCTGTGAAGCCACCAGTCAGACTGTCTTTCTCCAGAGATGATTGCCATACAAGTGATATACACTTACACGCACACAATGGGAGCAAGAAAAAGAAACTTGATTTAAGGTGAGACAGGTGAATGCGGTACCATTTTTGACAGATGTGGTATTGTGAAATTTTGAGCAGTAGCAATTTCTCATAGACTACAAGGAAATCTGAGCTTCTACTAACATTTCATCAAAAAGGCTACATATAAAGTGCTGAATTTAATAAATGTAGATAATGAATTACATGACAAGTTGGAATATATTTTTAACATTAATCACATCTCCATGGAAATGCTTTGTCTAAAATATTCCAATATAGTACAGAATAATAAATAATATGTAATATATAATATGTAAAGACTAAACTAAAGACTAAAGGAGTATTGGTCAAAAACCTGTTACATTCAGGGTCTTGTAAGTCTACATATAACTTTAAACTGAATATTTATTTTCTCTCGAACTCAATTAGAGGAAGTGATAAACCTTGAAGAGTAAGATGACTGCTGGCTCTCACTGTGTCTTTCGCCTCCAAGTGTCACTGACCTTTCACCAAGTATTAGACATATCCTCGTGAATGTGTGTTTACTTGTCAGAATTAGGCACTGTGCCAGTGCTATTACAGATAGGCCAGAATTGCTGGTTGTTGATCAGGTTGCATTGTCTAATCTTGCGTTCTTCCTCTGGGGTAATCTGCCCTGAAAGCCAAGTCAGAAAGAAATGAACGCTTTGTCTTTTTCTGCAAATCTGATTCAAATACTCTTCTAGTGCTAAATCATAGAGGCACATAGAGTCCCCAGGGAAATTTACTAAGCGATTGGGTCCTCCGAGCTGGTGAGAGAGCAGGCCAGGGCAATCATGTCCCAAACAGGAGCACGGCGATGTATAATCTCGTTCAGAAACAAAACCCTAAACACTACAACAGCTGATCACACTGATTTGTGGTCTTTCTGTTGCTATTAGTTACAAATGCCTCAGGTGGCTGGTCCTCAAATCATAGGAAAACCTAAAACTGGGTGCATTGAATTCAGTTCAGGCCATTTTGTACCAGACTTGTTATTAGGTCTAGAAGATTTTTGTTTTTGAAGTGGTCATTGCCATGAATAAACACTGGCACAACAGACATGCACTGTTTCTACTGAGAAAAGGTTGTGATTCAAAAGGTGTTTGGAGTTTTCTGTTTCAGGGATGAACTCAGTCTAAATAGTGGAAACTGTGTGTTAAAAAATGAAACAAAATGCAACTCTGGGTTTGTTTTTCATGAGGAAACATATAACATAGATCAGAAAATAGCATAATATGGGCCCTCTAAAGTAAATGATTTTGAATAATACTTTTGATTATTTCTACTACTGAACATATGAATTTGCTCTTTCAGTGTGTTTAAGTGGTAAAAATAGCTAAAAATAACATACTCATAATCACTGGGAAGATGAGACAAGTTATAAAAGAACAATTAAACGAAAAGTCAAAATGAGTTGTGTGGCACTATACTGCAGACGTGTCCCGAGACGCAAGCACAAGATTACAATTGTTTTCACATTTAAACGAAATTTATCAAAACTGTGAACTCAACATTTAATTATCTTGTCAAAGGGAAATGGATATTGTGCTAAATTTGATGCCACTTATGGTTTGAAAGTACTCGTGCCTGTGGGCTCTGCAGCAGCTCCTCCAAACCCACACATTTGCCTTATTTGAATAAATGACTGGAGCATCACAGCAGCTCTCTGAGGAGGCCCTGTGTCTGCTCAAAGCAGCGTCAGAACCTCGGAGATCCACAGTGCCTCTGCTACATCCTGCTCTGTCAATGCACGCAGTATGCAAATCCATTGTTTACACTTGGTCTGACATCATGAAGGCATGAAAGCCAATGGGGACACAGCCTGCCACAAGTTACCCAGAGAGATTGCTACTCATATACTGGGGAAAATGAAAATCATATTACATAATTTGGAGAAAATATGCAGACAGTTTTGTAAAAAGCAGGTGGTTCTGAAGAAAACTGGATAATTACAGGTTAATGATTACCTTCAGAATTCCTAATAAGACAAAATGATCACAAGAAAAAATGGAAAATAATCAAAATGGCAGGATTAGGCGAGGTTCAAACCGAGAGTTGGCAGCTACTTCTCCCATTGTGCCACATATAATGTATGTGTTGCATCCATTATTTTTTAAGCTTATATAATGATTCATTAAGTGGAGATGTTGCCTACTTAGGGTATGAGGCGAGACTTTGTTGTTTAATTGTAGAAGGGATGCAATGATCCATTTTTTTCTCGATAAGAAGTCTACACCTGCAGAAACTACAGACAAGCTTTGTTTAACTGTTCAATCATGTTCTGGACCAACTACAACCAGTAATCAGTCTTATTACATCAGCTCAGCCAGTATCCTGTTAACAATGCTCAATCCAGCAACTTTTTTTCTGGATCGGACTTGATTTATGATGATGTCCATTTTGAACATCACTAAAACTGTGTTTACGCCAGTTAGAATAATTAGCCAAATCAATTTTTGGGAGCCAAGTATTTTGGTCTAGGCTAGTGTGGTGCACCTTAAATGGTCACCACATTGGTTTTTTTTGGGGGGTAAAGTAATGCCGAAACCAGTTTTAAATGTCATTAATACTAATAATACAAAGTACTAACCTGTTTTATTAACCAATCAGAAATAGATTATTAACCTTTGTGCGAGAGGCGTCGCCCCAAGTTTGATTTACGGCGCAACTTCCGGTTCGCCTTAAACGCAATCTGGACACAGAAGAGAGCGCTCCGCGTCTTCCTTGTTTTCATCATTATTATTACTATATTTCAGGTTAGTACACGGTAAAAACCACCCACATAATTCCGTGTAAGACTATTATTGAGTGTTTTATCAACATGTGATATTGTTTTCATTGTTATTAGTATGTTAATCGGTAATTTTCCACTAATAATTGTAAGATAACGGTTAAGGTTTAGGTTAGCGGTGGAGTTGCCATGGTTGCCAGCGTCAGAATTCAGGCGGTCTATTTAGGTCTGTTGTAATTAAAAACATTTGTATGCTTTTATTTTTGACAAAGTTTAACATAGTAAAAGAACAGTTTTGTGTCCAGTCCATCTGAGTAATCCTGTTATTAGTAATTTGTTAAGTTGTGAGGGTTGTTTTGTGTGTGTGGTGACTTGAAGAATGTGTACTGCGACACAATGCACTTTAATGGTGTAGTGTTATATTTTTGATACTGAACAATTAAAAAACGCAATCTGGACACAGAAGAGAGCGCTCCGTGTCTTCCTTGTTTTCATTATTATTATTATATTTCAGATTGTGTCATCTCTGCTACGGCAGCCCCAGTACTTGGGGCCCGTAACACTAGGAATTAAACTTGTATTGTATATAATGGTGTATTGTGGTCCTAGAGAATACCATAGATACCCCAGGTAAATCTTCTGTGGAGTTCTTCAAAAGTCCAGTAACAAGTTGAATTGTGCACTTACCTATAAATTTTATATCTGGTCGTAAATCCCTGGTGGAATTTCTCCACAAAGGACAGGTAACTCCTGGAGTGGTGGAAAGGTCCCCGGTCTGAGATGAGCCAGTCATACTGTTTAGTGACATGTTGCTCAGTGGCCGATGGCTCCTGGCGCTCCTGGCGGGAAGACTGAACTGTTATATGGTCCCATATAAACAGGAAGCAGATGACCTCAATAAACCTCCAGTTCATGCTTTTTCTTAAACCGCTCTCTGTTCATTCTCGCTCCATTCTGTGGAGACCTGATGGAGACAAGAGGGAGGGGAGACAGAGAAAGAGCCATTACATGACAAAATTCATTTTCAAAAGCAATGTCTCGGAGTGAAGTTAATTGTATTCTAAGTGAACAAATAAGATAGTGCCCTTGTCATTGTCACTTTATTCTGATGCCTGCTTCACACTCTTGGTGCCTTTGTGGAGTTTGGCTAAATCTACATAGCAGGCTGGTGAGTGTGATGAGAGGACCATTACCCTTTTGCAGACGAGCTGAAGAACTTTGTGGGTGAAACAGTGTCTTTGGTCTAATTGGTGTCATGAGCAGATCTGACAGGGCGAGAGGGCTGCGTTATGATGTGTTATGACATGCTGCCATTACTGTGGGAGAGATCAGTTTCCCTTTACCCACTGGTGTCAATTAGAGATGCAACAAATGCTCAGTGAAAAATCTGACCTTAATCTATTCTCAAAAATCAACTGTTACAAACTGGGGCTTTGGTCAAGACAGAGGGCGTTTTGTGTGATAGATAGGCTGCACATTTGCATTTGGACAATGTCAGAGTAATTGTAAGAGAGTGTGCTGAGCTTGTTATTTTGTGATGAGAAAGACGGAAGAAATTATACTTTCAGCAATTCACTTGAGAAATTCAATCTTTCAATCAATTTCAATTTCAATCTTGAGTTTGGATTCATTTTAACTTAATGGTATGGCGATATTAAAAATAAATGTGATAGATTTTAAAGGGTCCATATTAAAATGTTGTTTTCTCATCACAAACATACCTGGAATTCTGTTTTCTTTCATTCCATTAACACATTTAACACACAAATCCTGCTGAGTTCTTCTCTCACACAGAAAACATTCTATTCCACCTTGTGATGTCATGTGGTAATACAGGAAGTTCTCCACTGTGTTTTTAAACTCCATACACCTTCACTAGAATCATTAGCAAAATTTGGTCCCATAGTTGCTCATCTCTACTAAACAAAAGGTGGTTTGGTAACTACTGTGTAATGAAATCACAAGTTGGAACACAGCAACAGTTATGTTTTATGAGGTAACAACATTCTAATATGGCTTAAAACTCACACAAAAATCACAGTTCAGTAAATTTTGTCTAATATAGGACCCTGAAGTTGTATTTTTTAAGCTTTGCCAGTAAACTGATTAAAGTAAATAGCAAAATGAAAGTCATTTTATCACATTTCATATGCCCCCTCATTTAACTCACTGCGTCTGTAAGTGAACCATATGGATATTAGTGCAGATGAATCAAACCATAAATCACGATGAGTAGTATTTCATGAAGGCAGTTGACAGTATCCTTCCCTTTACGGTAGTGCCAGGGAACATTAGATACACTCGACAGTGAAATAATGTCTCTTCATTACTGATAAGAAAAGGAATTCCATCAATAATTGCACTTTGCCCTGTGGCTATGAAATAATCCAACAGTGTGCTATCAACTGCTCCAATATATGGAAGAAAAAACTCCTTATTCTCCCATTTCCATGCTTTATTAGAAAATAACACATCATAAAAGAGCAGGGAGAATGTAATAGGCCTAATCTTCCTTGTTAAATAGATGATGAATGACTTGATTGAGAAAGTGCAAGTAATCACGTCGAATCACACTTTACAAGCCCTGTGTCTCTGTTTAACATACTAAATATCTGCATGAATAATACATTTTGTAATAAGTCATTTTAAACTGTGAATATTAGCCATCAGATAAGGCTGTTGTATTATAATTACTATTTTGACAGAAACAAAGCATGTCTCCCAGTCTCTCATTAATAAGACACAGATGCAATGACAATCGGTGGGGGTAGTTAACATGGCAGTTTAGGGCTAATTATATTAGACTTGTCTCATCGGAGTCTATTGTTGAATAAAACAATGCACATAGACATAGAGGAAACTGGTGCAGTGCAGGGGGCGGGTTGATAATGAGATGCATGTATGCAAATGCTGTGCCCTGCTGATTTAAAACTTGCATTTTCATAATTTAAAACATGGATGAGAGGACATATCAAATTCTGGAAAATGGAAATGAGAAGCACTGGGTTAATGATGATGGCTAATAATCACACATAAGTTTTATTTGAATGGACAGTAATGTGAAACTATTATATTGTTCATTTGTTCCAAGATTTACAGTTTGACCTTGTACAACCAAAGCTTCTGTGACTGCTCTTAATTTACTAAGAAGACATTAACCTCAGTCATGAATCGCCGCCTTTTTTTTTTGTTTTAACCCAATGCAGTCTAAAAAATAAATATAGATGTGTACAATGGCACAATGGCTTCTAAAAATGTGTTCCTTCTAGACCTGCAAGATTAATTGTAATTAAATTGAAACTGCTTATACCAATTGACGCAATTAGCAACTCGCCAAGGCTGCAATGTTTCAAATATCATCAGTTTCTCAACAAACACCAAAATATCCTTTGTTGTTCTGTATAAAACTGCTAACCCTGTAGTTTAGATCTGTAGAGACATGTTTAAAAATGTGATTCTTGTATTCAAATTCTTGTCAATTCTGGATGCCTTCAAAATGTGAACCTTATAAATCGCAAATCTAATCACAATGCCCATCAGAAAAATCACAATTTGATATTTTTCCCTAATCATTCCGCCTTATATGCTGCATGGGTGAACTAATATGTTCTCTACTTAGATTTTTATATCACCTTTTTGTGCAAAGGTTTAAAGGTATCCAAATGTAGACTATGTATGATTTTATGAATTTGAAACTCTTGAGGCTACAAAGAGATCATAGTGTACGGTTGTCAAAAGTATTGCAAATCAGGTGCTAAATAATATTAAAACTGGTATCATAAGTAGATAGTAATTTCAGTAAGTATAGATACCAAAAAAACAAAAACACATTTGACAGAACAAAATTTGCCCTCTCCTGACTAGAGAGACCTAGAATGATCTTGATCTTAATCAAAACTAGAATGACATCACATGCTAAAAGAAAGAAATACTATTAGTTTAATGTCTAAACAGGGGGATCTTTATTGTTGCAGCTAAAGTGGTATCAAGCCTATTTCTAAATATCAGTTGAGTTTGAAATGTTACTATTGTGACAACACTACAACAGTGATAGAATACGATGTAGCAACATTTTTAAAGAAGCAGAGTGATCACCTTGGGGCAAGCTCAGTTTAAATTTGGAACCTGCTTCAAATAGGGACTGAAAGGGAAAAAAAGCAACAAAAAAAACATCTTCCCAAGAATAAACTAGTGTTCACGTGTGAGAAGTGCTGACTCCAGAGAAAGTGTGCATCCGGGTAAATAAACCACTGAGGCTGTGAAGTGAAATTAGCTTCAGAGGAGATAACACTTTGGGATTCTAATTGTGGCTTGGGTCCTGGAGGACTGCTGCCCACTGAACTACAAGAGTTCAGTGGCTTCACAGGGAGGGCCAGGGCGTTTGGCACGTTAGTTCAGGGACAGTTTAACTACAAGATGAGACTCGTTTTCCCAACAAGCACCGGAATGGCCCCAGAGCTCCACCCCATCTGAATAGGATAGCCTCAAAGCAATACTTGTTAACACCACAGAGACACAGTTATGAGGTAGACTCGGGCTGTGCAACTGACTGAATTTTTATCCAGAGTGGGATTCATTCATCAATTCGTCAGTGATGAGGGTCACTTTAATGGCGAGGTCTACAGCCAAGTCTCTATCACTAAAGTGTATAGTTTGGTTTGCAGAATTCAGACTTTGGGGGAAAAAAATTCACAAGTTTTGGTTTAAAGTGGCCATTAATTAAAGGGCCCATATTATGTTATTTTCTGATCTATGTTATAATGTTTCTTCATCAAAAACATACCAGGAGTTGTGTTTTATTTCATTCACACATGTTTACCATACAAATCCTGCAGGCGGATCTGTACAAACAGAAAACACTCATATCCACCTTGTGATGTCAAACATTTGGTAATACAGGAAGTGCTTCACCGTATTTTAAAACTGCATATCCTTTGCTAGAATCATTTGGATGATTTCAGCTCTGTAATAGATGGGGGGGCAAGTGTGCTAACATATAACATATTTATTGTTTGTGAAATATGCTATATTTCCTTAAAACAACATGTCATGTTTAATAAGTTTCACTTTTGTTTTTGACACTCTGTTTCACCTCCATTTGCTCTCCACACCCCCCTTCAGAGTGCTATCACAACACAATCAGTTTGCGTCCTGCTAATGAAAGTACTGCACAGCACGTCTGATTTGTGAACTTGTTGAGTCCAGTTATGTTTATAAAGAATTGTCATATGGGAATATGGATGATGTCACACAGGCTTGTGGAATGAGCACTGAACAGAATTTTACATCTAACTGGAGTGAGGGTTTGGATAGGGCCTGGGAGAGATAGTTGATCTACTGAAAAATGAACAGATGGCATCTAAAACCTCTTCAGGTATGTTTTTGATGAGGGTAGAATGCTCAAAAAATCGATTTTTCATTATACCCCCAATTTGATGACATTGGATTTATGCTTGATTAACGCTCTCTCCATAAATCCAGACTTAGAACCTTAAAGAAAGAATACAGTTGTTGCTAGGACACAAACCAATAGAAACAAGTTAAGACTGCACAATAACAGGCACATATAATTTACCTGTCTGAGCAGCATCATAATATAAAAGTACATTTTTGAGTCGCTTTGGTGCCCTGCTGTGTAAAATCTAAAAGCACATTTCATTAGTCTATTACAATGCACCATTTCACCTCACAGTTTATGACAAAGCTTGTAATTTGAATATTGCCGTGGTGTTATTGCAGAGTAGATTAGCCACAGTGATGGGGCAGGGACGCAGTGGATGACATTTATCCTTGAGTGCACATGGTCAAAAGAGGAGGATGTCTGCCTCAGGAAATCACAGAAAGACAAGGGAGGATTGTATCTGCTTTAAACAGCCTTATTCATGCTACTCCTCCTCCATTCTGGTTCATTCAAGGAAATTCAATCTCCATTCTGGTCCCATCACACGCCCAGCCAATCAATCC